GTTCTACCAGTTACACCATCAGCGGTCAGCCTCCTACCTTTGGTTGCCTACTTCTCCATAATCTAGTCCTCCTCCTCCTCCACAGAATCCATTAACCATCGTGCGTTGATTGCATTTGAAGATTCCATGTTTTCTTCATTTTGAAGTTGACAATTGAAGTGTTAGCAATTACAAATTAGTTGTCACTGTTCAAGCCATTTGTACACGCTTTCAAACTTGTTTGTGTCATAAAGGTTAGATTACAAGAGATGAGAGATCAAGGATGTGAGTCTTTACTTGAGAACGAGATCATGTTTTGCAGTAAGGAATCCATTCATGTTCTTGGTACAGATGATGAGTATGTTCTTCTGTGATGGTCAAGGCACAATGCTCCACCTATCAGGAACTTGTATCACAATAAATTTAATTTTTTTACTCTATTCTTGATAAGAATCTGCAGGAGTTGAACAACCGATTAGCTTAGGTGAATACTAGGTTGTTGACTTGTATAACTTGTGTTAGTGGGGAGAATGTGTTTGTTGCTTTTGACAATGAGAAGTTGGTAAGCCTTACTCTATTTTATCCTAATTTGTTTGCTCATCTTTCTAAGGCTTTCTTCGACGATACTTTGAGAGTTATTATCATTGTGTATTAAGAAAGCTGATATCATCCTTAGATTAAAATGAATTTGTGAATTAGCTCAGTTGGTGGTGAAGAAAAAAGTGAATCTATCATATCTATCGGTCCACTTGCTTCTCAAATAATACTTGTTGCAGACGAAATTTGTCAAAATTTGATACATCTCAAGTGATATTAAAGCCCATCATCAATAAAGCATATGCATATTGCTTACATTTCTTAAAAAATGTCCGCGTAAATATTTCTTAAAGGTGTTTCCTAAATTGCCTTGAATAATAGGTATATATGTACAAATACATTTTTTTAAAAGTGAAAAATATGTCACATATCACTTTATACAACATCGTCTATAGATGACACTTATAAAATATGTTGCATATGCCACTAAATTTTCAAATTTGAGGGGAGATTATAGCCCCTAACTTCAACCTAACTTTACCATTGATATCACATAGTGGCGTAGTCAGGATTTTATTCAAGGGAGTGCCATAAAAAAAGTATATATGCGGTCTCATGTTTCATATTATAAAATTATTATAAAAAATATACGAATAGTCAAAACTACCAAGATTTCTCTCTAATTGTATTCCACCAAATAACCATTCACAATTTCACACTAGATTCGAAGATTGGTCAATCGTTTCATTGCATAAAATATTATCAACTTGTGCATTGACAACTAGTAATTGCAAATCATATTTATTTTCACAAGCAAATACATTGATGGAAACTAGTTTTCTCTTGGGACTATCATTATCATAAAAATTCAATGATATTCTCTAATAATCAATCCTGATCTACTATCCATCTTGATAAGCTAGAATGTACAATTAGTAGATAAAATTAATTTACATAATTGGTTGTGGTTAGATGATAGAAGATTAGAGAATTGACATTGAAATTTTGGCTTTTATACAGAGGTGACAAATAGATTTGATTCTTGGATTGGTGAATTGGTAGATCCATGGATCAAATGGATTGGTGGATTCATACAGGGATCATGTGGATTGGTGGATTGATCAATGAATCCAAATACATCCAAGTTTTGGATCAATATGTACATTTTGAAAAGTTTAGGTACTGAAAGAGTATAATAAAAAATTTAGGTCCCAAAACATAATTTCTAAATAATATTTTTCAAATAAAAAATAAGTTTTAGGTACCAAATTTTTAAATATAAAAATATAGGTACTAAATTATAATTTGCCAATGATCGATGAATCCAATCCACGACCACCAATTCAATTGGATTTCGATCAAATAAATTGGATTAGATGGATAAGATTGGATTGGTGGATTGATTAAAATACTACCACCGCTACTTTTACATCATTATTAACATACTAATACTACTAATTTTTTGTGTATTTTTCTCCAAATCTAAAAGAGTGTCATGGAATCCCTTGAAAGTCTCTGGCTCCGCCCTAATATCACATATGCAATACTTTCCGCATTTCTTGTGCATTTTTTGCAACACATTTAAGACGATAACAAAAACCAATTTAGAACTCCATATACATGCTTCTACATTTCGCTAATTGCGGGGTGCATGGTTTGACATTTACTATACGCACATTGTGAGCTTGAAATACACTTTCATAATTATTACTATTTCAACAATGGTCAAACAATATTTATCTTGAAATTTTACTTATTTGTCTAGTTAGAAAATGATTTGAATTTGATTTGGATTTGTTTTATATTTTGGGTCTATTTTGTTTGAATTTGTGTTTGGGATTTGTTTTGAAATTTTTTCTTGTATGTTTGAAATGTGTTTGGTTTTCTGTTTGGGATCAGGAAAAGAGTTCTATAAATACTCTTCATCACCCTAATTTGTTGTAAGCTCAGTCAGGTTAGTTTGTTTGGTTTGTCTGTTCCGAAATTTGGTTTGTAACCTGTACTCTTCTCAAATCAGTGAAATTTGTTCTCCCCTGCCCGTGGATTAGGTAGCACACATTCTGTTAGTGAACCACGTTAAGTTTGTATTCATTTCCATTTATCTGAATTATCATTTGCACACTTCTGTTCTGACAAGTGGTATCAGAGTTTGATTGATCTTTGGGCTATTTTAAATTTTCTTCGGGGATTTCAGAATTGCGATTCTGATTGAGGTTTTGGGGAATTGCGCACGGGTTTGGACTTGTTGATTTGTTGTAGCTTTGGAGTTATTAGAAAAGGACGCTTGGGAGCATTTTTCGCCCTCGAATGTGTCAAGATTGTGTACTCTTTGGAATTACTAATTCTAATTGGGTAGCAATTTTATTTGGACCGCTCGCAATAGCATCGAAGCGCTCTGCCGCTATTCTAGAAATCGTTGGAGTTGCGTTGCCTTTGGGAGCATATTGTGCTCTGCCTGTGGTCTTGGAGTTTGGAATAAATAATTCCAAAGTGGTGGTTGAACTTTTTTGGGATCGTAGAGTAGCCATTGGGAGTTGAAGCAGAGTTCTTTTGCGGCGGTTGGAGTTAATTTGGGTGGACGTTTGGTTAGTGTTTGTGGCTATTTGGTTAATTTTTTCTCTATAAAATTAAGGATGACTGCTACGAGTATGAAGATTGATAAGTTTACGGTAAGAAATAATTTCAGTTTGTGGCAGATTAAGATGCAAGCATTGTTGAAACAACATGGTTTGTGGGCCAAGTTGTCCAAAAAATCGAAGAAGAAAAGCATAGATGAAGAAGGGTGGATTACTTTGGAGGAGAAAGCTCACTCTACAGTATTACTTTGTTTGGCTGATGACATCATACTAAGAAGACTGTCGCGGGTTTGTGGTTGAAGCTTGAATGTCTATATATGACAAAGTCTTTAACCAACAAGTTGCATATAAAGCAACGTTTGTTCAGTTTGCGTATAGAGGAAGTTATATCTCTCAAGAATCATCTAGAGCAACTCAATACTATCTTGTTAGATCTGCAGAATATTGATGTTCAAATAGATGATGAGGATGCTGCCTTAATTCTGTTTTTTTTTCCACGATCGTATGAGAATTTTATGGATTATTTTATTGCTGGGAAAGATTTGTCTTTGGAAGATATCAAATCTACTCTACATACTAGAGCGGTTCGACATAAGGCGTTTGGTTCATGTTCGGAAAATTAGGCATCTGAGTTGGCTGCTACGGGTAGTAGGAGACAATAATCTAGTATTAGGAAGGTGAATATAAATTTGAATTCTGTTTGTTTGAAGGATGATGATATATGCATTACTGTAAGGAGAAAGGACATTGAAAATTTGATTGTCCTAAACTAAAGAAATATCAGGAGAAAAAGGAATCATCTGCTGTTGTGGCGGAGGAAACTAACCCTGATTCTAAAGATGGTTTAGCCTTAGTAGTGAATGAGCAGGTACATCATCAAGATGTGTGGTATTTAGATACTACAGCTGATTATCATATGTGTCCAAGCAGGGATTGTTTTCAACTTATGAGCATATAGATAGAGGACATGTTTTGATGGCCAATGGTGCTATCTATAAGATTGTTGGAAAGGCTCCATCAGAATAAGGACACATGATGGTTATATTCGAACCTTGAACAATGTTAGGCATATTCCATAGATGACTTAGAATCTGATATCTTTGAGTCTACTAGACAGCAAGGGTTTCATTTTCAAAGGTGAAGGTGGAGTGTTGTCTGTCTACAAAGGTTCTAAGGTGATTCTGAAAGGTGTTAAGGTTGGTGCCTTGTATAGTCTACAGGGTTCTATTTTGACATGTTCTGTTGGTGGTAAGTGCACCAAGTTGGTTTTGAATGAAAAGTCCCAACATGGGTTGGACTTGCCGAATGGTTTGGTTTGTTGACCCCTTAGGGGCAATTGGAGGCAGGGGAGATTTTGTCACATTTGGAGATTTGAAAAGTTTGTTACGTTTGGCAATTCTGATTGCGTTTGAGTTTGGGGATATGTATCGCGTCTGGGTCATCTGGCAACTTTGGTTGCGTCTGGTACATCTGGTATTTGAGAGAGAATTCAAGTCAAGGTGGAGACTGTTAGAATATGACTTGAATTTTATTTGCGTTTGTTCTCTCATGTCCATGGATTAGCTAACACACATTGTATTAGTTAAGCACATTAAATTTGTGTTTGTTTATATTGATCTGGATTATCGTTTGCACACTTATGTACTGACATGTCCACTTACGTTGTGCTGAGGTTAGTTTTGAAATGCTGAGCAAACATGAGGTTAGTTTACGCCACCTTCCTTTTTCCCACGTCGAGACATCATTTGATCTTTGTTTGCACATATATTTTTGTCGTGGCTTGTTAAAGTGACAGGGACATGCTACCTGTTTCTCAGGTGGCACAACTCTGTTACGTACCATAAATCTCCAAAATCGTCAGTTCTTTACCCAAAGAGAACTTCTAACTATAGAGGATACACCTGATTCCCTGCTCCTTCGCATTTCTTAATTAATGCAGAAAAGTTTCACGCGTGTTGGTAATTGGTGAGATGAGATACCATTATTTTTTTTTGTGTGCAAAGTTAGTGTTGAAAAGATAGTCACAAAGTGGAAGAAAGAAAAACGCGGGAGTCGACCAATAGTCGAACTCCCGATGAGAGGGCCTTTTGTGCCACATGATGGGCAGTCCTATTTAGTCGACGAGAAACAAAGCAGTAATAAATCCGGCTGAAGTGAGAAACTAAGCTCCGAGTATCCTCAAATAGAGCTCCACCCCGATCATGTGCTAAGTCGCCTCCCACCATCCCGCCGTATCAATTGTTGTGAATCCCATGAAATTTGACAGAGACAAAGGAATGTGTCAAGCACCACTGTATGGCCTCCAGTATAACAAATGGATCTTGCAATCCTTCATAACACTTTCCGAAAGCAAAGAAAATATTACCTGACGATTGGAAACCCATAAAGCCAATACTACATTCGTGACTATGCTTGACCGCACCATCAAACTAAATATTAATAGTGTTCAAAGGGTTCCTTCAACATCAGGGGTGTCATTTCCAAGTGCTCCATCAAATCTCATCAAAAGGCCACCCAGTGGACAAGACAGCCGCCACCGATCGACTATTGTGCAATTGAATCTTCACCTGCAAAGTGAGCAAACAAAGGTCCCTACTAAGACAATCCAGGCCAAAGAGCCAACAAGTCAACATAGACACAAGGCAGCAATTCACCCTTGAAATAGAATACCAGGTCATCCAGAAACCCTAGATAACCGGCACCACTCGATACACACCTAAACATTTTTTTTAATAAAAGATGCAACCTAAATTTCGGTGGACCTAACAATTTGCAAGTATATAAATTTAAAAAGAAGGCAATAGATACATACGAGAAAAATTAAAAAAATTGGAAAGAATAATTAAAAACAAATAAAGTATGAAGGATAATTATTAAGGGAAAGAAATAAAGAAAAAAATAAATGATAAAGGAATACTCATCTGAACCGTCGGCCAAGATGCGTAACCGCCACCCCGTTCATGATTGTAACCGACAAGACCGCATTCAGCCCTATGGGGGAGATGATCCGCCGGCAGCCGAATCTCCGAGCAACCCAAGGAGACAATCCCAAATTCGAAACAATTCACTAGCGAAATCCTAATTACAAGACAGTTTGACGATGTCGATAGCTAGCGGAAGTACTTTAGAGTCCGGAGATCGCACTTGAGAGGAGCAAGTTGCATCCTCGTCTCCCTCGCAAGTCGCAACCTCGTCGCCTCCGGCCGATTTCACCCCACCACCTCTACCTTTTGGAGATTTGCAGGGGATGAGCGGATTGCCCACTTCTCTTAGCCACAGAATTGAAGGCCCACTTCTTTTGGATAGTTGTCATCGCCACTAGTCGCCTCCCGCCGCTTCTCCGCTTCATTGCCGGATAAGAAAGAGCAACGGATCTGAAATCATCCGGCTTCGCATCCCTAGCCGCCGTCGAGTACCGGAAGAAAAAGGCAACGAAGAGCCTTACTCCATCGAGTACCGTATCTGAAATCATCCGGCTGCACATCCCTATCTCTATCGCGACCTTACTCGGCCGAAAATCCCAGATCGCGAAACTGAAGAGCCAAATCACCGGCCGGTGAGAAAGCCAAATCGTCTTGGAATGGGAAAAGGACTGGGTCGACAACGTTGTGGGTTGAGATTTGGGGTCATCGGGATGGGGAAAGGGGATTGGAGATCGTCGGCTCGTCCGAGGTCAATGCTTTCTTTGGGCGCCATTGTTCGGAGAGTGAGTTGATGTTTGCCGGCCCTTGATTCTTAGAACAAGGAACAATTAACAGAGATCAGATTGATTTCGGGGAGTGACTAATGTTGGTAGCAAATCCTCAAATTCCTCAAGTTTCCATCCTCGATCAACATCCCATAGGTTAACCACTAGCCAGTTCCTCTGCTCCTCAGATATGTTTGTCGTGGGCTCGTGGCTAGCTCCAAAAGTGGCACCTGCAAAACCCATTATTTACGTAGAGTTTATTTTTGTGTAGTTCTATTAATTATTTACGTAGATTTATTTATGCTTGTTGAAGAATGTGTGTTTGTTTTATTTCTTTTAATTAGGAGAACTTTTTCTTCATTTTGAAAAAATTTATTAAATTTGAGGAAAAGTATGTTTGATAAGAGTTTGTAGAAAGTAAAATAGGAAGGATGTAAAATAAATTTTATCAATAGAAAGTTATTTGATGAGATGATGACTAGTGTGTTTAATAATAAATTAGTGAGTGAATTTTGAAAAATTATTATTTTATTTAAATTTTAGGAATATAATCTTTTGGAAGGATAAAATTGTAAAATTAATTTCTTTTAGGGAGGTGGATTTTCAATATCCATTTGTGATTCTTAAAGTGAATAGAATTTTTATTCAAATTTGAGAAAAAATATGAAAAATAATATTTATTTTGAGTAAAACGTGTCTTTTTTTTCAAGGTAAGCAAATAATCTTATTTACTAACCAATCAACTTTTGAGCACTTCTACTATGTTATAAAAAATTGGTGCTTTAATGTATAACTTGAAGTCGTACCATAACGTTAAATGTATAAATTCGGGTTGTACTATAAAGTAATTTGTGCCATTATGTTAGCGGCGGGATAAGATCACTTCCCCTAATGGGGTTGTGAGATGCACAATCAAGGGCATTTTGGGTATGATAAAAAAATAAATTTATTAATTAATTTTTTGTATTAATTACAGACTGTGAATTAAAAACTAATATTAAATACATGTTTTTTTAAATTTAAATCCTACAATATATATATATATATATATATATATATATATATATATATATATATATCTTTCTATCTCTCTCCTCCTTTTCTAGCAGCCAATCCACTACTATCGGCTGATTTTCCGACCGATAGACTTTCTTCGGCGAAATCATTGAATCAAACTCGCTCCGGCCACCTGCAAAAATTACCACTCTTTTCGTGCGTTAATGGTACGCTCCGACTATCACTGGTACCAATACCAGTACAACACTGCCACTACCATTTTGATTTATGGAAAGTTATACAAGTGGAAAATCTTTGTGTTTCCAATTTTTTAGAATAAAAAAATAGGGAAATTTGGTGCTTACCTTTTTGAAAAAGAAAAAAGTGGGAGTTTTTGTGCTTTGGTGTATAGGAAGATAAAGAAGTGTGATATTTTGGTGATTTCAACTTTTGGGGAAAAAAGAAGAGGAAAATTTGGTGCTTCAAGTTTTCGAAAAAGAAATAGGAAGTTTTGATACTTTTTATTTATATGAAGGGATAGAAGAGGGAAATTTTGGTGTTTTTGATTTATGGAACGAAAAATAAGAGAGAAATTTTGTGTTTCCAATTTTTTTACATATGATGGTTTCGAAGTTCATTTAATTATCAATTTAATTATCACAATGTTTACATATGATAATTTAGAAGTTTAACACTTAGTGACTAAAATACTATCTATCGCGAACCTTACTATAGTCTTATAGGGCATGACTATTTTTATATGGTAGATTTGAGAATATCTAATGAGTTATTCTATCTCAAATGTAGGTTATTTTACATTATAAAATTATATACTTAATTACTTATCAATTGGATTATCACAATGTTTGCATATGATGGTTTAGGAGTTTAACATTTAGTGACTAAGATATTAACCTTATTATAAGTTATATTATCTCAATAAGGTCACTCAAGTATCTAAAATGCATGTTATTTTATATTATAGATCATATACTTATTTAGTACTTCGACGATTACAATCTTGATCGACTATGAATTAAGAGTTCAATATTTAGTAACTACGAAATTGTCTATAGTAAACCTTATTATAGTCTTATAGGGCATTGATATGAAATTATAGTACGTATAACCCAATCGGTTTTATTATTGGCTTATAGTACATATAACCCAACACCCATCATATGAAATTATTTAACAGCTTATGATAAACACCATACTTTTCTAGTTGTGTGAACTAATTTGACTATTTTTAAGGTATAAAGTTTATATAATATGAAGTTTATGAATTGGTTTATTAATCTATGTTGAAATTTACTACTATAAGATATAATGAAGTGTATGGACAAATAACGATCCAGTGAAATGTCTCTAATTATAAGTTTTCGATAAATAGCATTGTTCACCAAAGCAAGTACGCAACACTATACCGGAAGCTTCTAAAAGTTTATTTGAAGTGGATCTAATTCATCTGCACATCATTTTGTAACTTAAGTCAATTTAACATCATAAGCCAACATGATACGTATTGTCAAAAAGCCAACATGATATGTATGACTATGTAATGAAGCTAACTACAAAAGATGCATATCGTTACTTGAAAAAAAACATACATAATATGTGTTGATAATCAAATAATCGGTTATAGATTTTACTTACTACTTTGATACGTATTCTATACAGTTAGTTTATAGAGCTTAGTTTCTGGATCTATGGCCCATTTTTGAATGACTGAACACTTTCGAACTCAAAATAATATAACAAAAAGTTGTTTCAGTGTTTTCTACCACATCGCTAGTTTATATATGTATCACACTTCACCCCAAATATAAAATATTGGGTGTCATTCCATTTTGTAATAAGTCCGGAAGAGTCCAAGAGTTGGTCCCTCGAAATGGGCAGCAAGCTTTGTTCTTCTTCTGGCCAAACAGTGGCCTACTTGGGAGCCATTATTTAGCATGATACTTTGAGTTAAGTATTGGGCTTAAGGTGGTTCCTTCATTTGGGCTTGCCAAGTCTGGTGACGAGCTATTATTGAGTTGAGCTTGTCGAGCTTCAGGTGTCGTTTTCTTAATGAGCCAAGCTTGAGCTAACATTTTTGTAGCTCGTATCAAATTCGAGCAAAGCTTGAGTTGAGATAAATTTTGTTGAGCTTCAGCTTGAGCAGGGTTAGCTCGGGTAATTTGCAGTCCATACATATACAATTCATGTTCTATTTTACTCAATTTTCCTCCCCGTTGCAAAATGCCACCCCATTTTATTTTTGCTTGATATATATTCTCACCCAATTTCTTCTTTCCCGCTCCAAAGTGAATTGATCTATATTGCCGCTCAATTTTTGTTTGGATTGATCTATATTTTTGTTTGGGTTAATTTATATTGCCGCCAAAAAATGTTGAGATGGGGGAAAATGTTTTTCTTCTTTGTTTTAAGAGTGGTGTTTTGTTTTCTGAATGTATGGTTTGTTAATAGTGTCCATTGGTTGCAAATGTTGATATCATCATTACTCTTAGATATTGTACTTTAACAATTACGATTAATTACATGACAAGTTTTCAAGTCATACAAATTGCTTCAATATTTTGACTAGTTTTTTATTTTTAAAATTTAAGTATATATATGAGTAAAAAGAAATTGGTTAAAAATTGTGAAAAATATTTTAAATTAGTGTAATAAAATGTGTAAGTTGGTAATTTGTAAGGAGTAAGTACTCGATGTGCTAAGTCGAACAACCCGCAATCCGATCCGCCCGCAACCCGCCCGACCCAAAACCCGATGAACCCGCAACCCATTTTCCCGCAACCCGATTGAACCCAAACTCGGTAAACCCTAACCTGACTAACCCGTAACCCAATTGAACCCAATGAACCCGCAACCTGATTGAACCCGCCCGATTGAAAGCTATAGCTGTGATGGTGGTGGCGCCGACGGCAGGAGAGGCAACGGAGGGCGGCGGGAGGGTTGGATGGTGGTGGCGGATGGGATGAGGAAGCAGATGGAGAAGAAGGGAGAACTGGTGGTGGTGGCTGTAGAGAGAGGGAGATCTGATTATGGTTTTTAAAGAAAGAAAAAGCATATGGAAATTAATAGTGGTAGTAATCCTATGTGGTTAGTTTTTTCAATTCCAAAAATACCCTTCGTTGAATCTTAACAATCGATTTAAAAAATAGAAGAAAGAGACAGGAAAGAGAATGTATCCAATGGCTACAAAGTGGGTTGTGAATCTAACAACCCCCTCAGGGGGTTGTGATGGTATCTCATCCCATTATGTTATGGTACAACTTCACAACTTGAAGTTGTATTATCACATAAAGGTACAAGTTCAAGTTATATCATAAAATAATTTGTACAAAAAGTATAAGTACAATCTAAAGTTGTATCATAACATTAAAGGTACAATTTCAAGTTGTACCATAAAGACAAAAACATATAACACTAATGCTATATATCATTGTAAAATTCCTCTCAAATTTTTCATACAATCTCACGAATTCAATTGACCCATCAACTATTTGTTATTTCATCATTGTTGAAATAAAATAAATTATTTCATATTATAACAAACTAGAGAGTGGAGGCCTCGCTTCGCAACGACATATATCAAGGGTTGGATGGCTTGTTTGCAAGCCCGTCTACAATTAGTATATTGTTTTTTGAATGATCAATCTGTATATTGCTTGATGATGTAAAAACATGTTTTTTTCCCTCGAGGGGTTTTTAATCATATATGTTAGTGCACGCAGAAAATAAGCAAGTAGAATGTTTTGGTAGAGCATCAAAAGAAATGGAAGGATGATACATGAATAATAAAGGAAGAAGAATTAGTAACTTATGTACTTTCAAGTTTCAACTTTAATTTCAGTAGGAACAATCAACAATTGGTCCGTGTAGAAGTGAAATGAAAATCTATAGGGCGACAACAAATGCAGACTCTACTACTGCTAACCCTTGAGAACCATATTCTGCCTCGACTCTGTTATCCTTCGAGCTTCGACCCATGTTGCACCTGAAGCATAAGGTTTTATCTAAATAAGTAGACAATAAAAAATAGTGACAGATACCTACCAATGATAAAATCGTGGTTTTAAGTTTTTTTGGATTTTTCTGTACATTGAGCCTCGGGTTAGAGCAACGTGTTAGGCCTGATTATAACCAAGGCTGAACTACGATTTTAATACTAAATACTCTAATGCTAATTTTTTAGGTACGACCTTAGATATGGTTTTACATTTTTTTGATTTTTCTGAACATAAATTG